CTTCACCCAGGTTAGGCTCAGCACTTACCAGTACATGGGGTCGGTTGTACTGATACTACACTCTGCACTTCTTGTGCAGATTTCGGAGTTGGTCCTAGCGGCATACCATAGGCTTGCTCGGATTTCAGCTACTAGAGGAGACTTGAGGTATAATTGCATGGCGTCCGTAGTTCTGAAGTCTCCGTCTATTTTATTTTAGCTGTGTGTTTATTTTCAGACAACTTTATTTTTATTCAGACCTTTATTTGTATTTATTCTAGAAACTCGTGCACTTATGACACCAATTCTGGGATGGTATTTAGACACCGTTGTATTTATGGATTATTCACTATATTTCAAACTTTATTTCCGCATTTGTTTCTTTGATTATTAATAATTTAAAAATTATTTAAAAATTAGTTAATATTATTCTAACGTTGGCTTGCCTAGCAAGTGAAATGTTAAGCGCTATCACAGTCCGAAGGTGAGAATTTCGGGTCGTGACAGATTAACTTATTGAAAAACTAATTTGGATAAGAAAGTCGAGCCTAAGTTAAAGCCATATAATTAACTAAAGAACTAAAGAAAATTTCAAGAGTAAATTCATATAAAAGCAAAAATAATAACCGTGATGTCATAAATATAATTAGCTATATATGAATATACTTACATAAACATGGAGAAAATAACTCACATCGTTTGAAGGTATTTAGGCAAGCAAGAGTGACAATATTTGTACTAAAAGATTGATTTATGAAGTGCAGATAAATTATAAGCATTGTAGACCCACATACGTCAATGCCAACTTCTATTTACAATTTATATTTTTTTAATATAAAAAATCTTATAAATATAAGCACATGCAAGATAATAATCTCCGATAAATCAATCACAATAAAAGAATTACATAATATAAGAACTAATTGTACGAAAAATGAACATAGCAACAAAAAAGATGAATTGCACAAGCTTTATTGATTTTTAGTCATCATTTTAAGAGACTTACCAGCTCTATATGGATAGCAACACATTACCCTAGTTGAATAGCAAGAAATACAAACATAAGCTAACTTTCCTTCCAAAAGTGTTACGGGAACCGTAATCATTAACCTTTCAATTTACAATTCTTAATCAAGCATGCATATATGAGACGTACGTCCTATAAAATTCATAATAATTGATAACCTTTCAATTTGTAATTTGTTTTTATCAAGAATGCATGTTTATTGTTACATAACTTCAAGAAGAGATTACATGTAGAAAATTTACCTCAAATCTCAAGTTAGTTCACCTCCGAATGTTGGCGCTATCAAAATATAGAAATAAAGTGAATGCTAAACCTAAACAAAGACAAGTAACATGAATTAATTGGTAATACAGAACCAAAAAAATAATAGCGAATAATAAACGGAGAAGAACTTAAAAAATCCTAAACCTAGTGAAAAGCTACACCGCAATAAAGAATCCTAATCTATATATAAATATAAAGTTGGGAATTGAAATAGTGATGTGGCACCTCCAAAACCCAGCATCTATATTTATCTTTTTTTCCTGATTTTTTGAATTTTCATCATTATTTCAATACAATCTCAATTACTAAAATGCTTTCCCTATACATAATTATCATGAGTCTTAAACCAGGGAAGAGGAGGAAATTTTGGAATTGAATTACATCTTCCCCCATATACATTAATTATTAGTCTTAAATAAGGGAGAGGAAGAGATTCAAGTTAATTGGGAAAAATAAGCAGCTTTAATGACTTAAAGAAGAAAATGCATAAAATAAAGCTGGTAAGGAAGTATAGTATTCTAAATCAGAAACGGCTTCTCCGGTGAATCCTCACTCCTCTTATTTTTCTTCATCCCAATGAAAGCTCTTTGTATTATTTTTCCAACCGTTATTAGAATTAATGATACAATTATGAGTAGTAAATAGTAGTATCTAATTTGATATTTATTTGTTCTTGGCATCTGCGCAATTAAAAGTATATAACAATTTTANTCTAATTGATATTTATTTGTTGTTCTTCCAGTTCTCTACTTGACCATCCAATTTCGAATCCAACTATATATAATAGTCTCTGGTTGCATACCAAATACATTGTGGTGAGTTTTCAAATCCTTTTTCATCTTAATAGTATTCTGTATTACATGTTGAAATTAGAGTAAAAATCAAATATTTCACCAATTATTCATGTATCCATATTATACATGTCATACTATATTTATGTATATAGATATGGAGGAGACTAAGTCCATGATGGTGATGATAATATTAGAAATATTTTTCTATCAAATTCCACGAGCTGGTGAAGAAGTTTAACAAGCTTTTATCTGAAGTTGATTCAATATTACTTTGTAGTTCGTATTCACTTTCAAGTGTTTTTGTTGTTTTGTTTGTGTCCATCATATGTGGATCATCATGGGGGTTATAATGGTGACCGTGTTGTCACAAATATTATTTTAGTGATATTTTGCTTTTTTGTAAAGTAGAAAATATATTCTAAAAGTTCTTATACTTTATTGGGTTTTACTAGGAGATTACTGGTCATTGTGTGAAGAATAATTTGTATCTAATTTACAGAGATATAGTGTGGCACTTCTCCAAGACTAATGACCAATTATTTTTATCACTTTTTGGTATTTTTCTCTTATTCTGTCCAATTATTTGATTTATGGAGATATAACGTGACACTTTTCTAGAACTAAAATGACCAATTATTTTTATCAGTTTTTGGCATATGCGCAATTAAAACTATATAACAATTTTAATTCTTTTTCCTCCCTTTATTTAAGGTGTACATATAGTAACTCCAAAAATTAATTGACTGCGGTAAGAAATTTAAAAAAAGTTCCCCTCTTTCCGGTTTTTGCATAGTAATAATTGTCAAGAGAATAAATTTAATAAGGCAAATTGAAATAGGAAAGAGAAAGAAAAAAGGAAAGAAAGAATAAAAAAATGTAGAGGAAGTATAAGATAGGGAAAAAATAGTAGAGTGTTTAGGGAATTGAGAAGGAAAGAAAAACAAGATCAATAAAAGGAAAGACAATTAGGAAAAAGTATAAATGACTTGAGTTTAACCAATGGATTTTCTTTTTTATTTTTAGTTTCTTTATTTTTCATTTCATGTTTATTAAAAGTTTTACTATTTAGTGAAAAGAAAAAAAAATCAAATGCATATCTAAGTACACATTCATGTATATTAAAAAACAAGTATTAAAACCATATGCGCACAACTATGCCCCATACAAACTACAAGTCTCCTTAATATTCTTATTAAAAAATCTGATCAGAAGATAGATTCATTAAGCTCAACTTCTAATAAGAGTATTATTTTTTGTAACTTAATCAATACATAGAATAATTTCTTATATGCATTTAAATAAAAAACAGTTATGTCTCATATCTGGATTGAATTTATAATAATTATTTTGTTCAATGACACTTATTGCAATCGCGCGAAATGCAGACAAGTTCTCTAGTTATACATAAACAAAGAAGAGCCTAAATAATTGTAAACCTAAATAAAGTAAAGTCCCGACCAATAGAAAATACTAAACGAGAGTTTTTGTTTTTTGAAAAATAAAATTTCTGATTACAATTATAATTATATCCAATGTAGAATGCATATAGAAAGGATAAAAAAGATGAATAATATTTCGATAGAGGTTTCGTGCTTTTAATATAGTATAGATAGATATAGGTATATGATATGAGGATATTAGAGGTTTTGACCAATATTTTCCCTTATCTTTAAGGGTAGGTCTACTTTGGTCCCTCAAATATAACCCTAAGCATATTTAGTTCCTTAAGTATGCTAAAGTGGAGCATCTTTAGTCTCACTGACAGAGGTTTTGACCAATATTGTCCCTTATCTTTGAGGGTAGGTCTATTTTGGTCCCTCAAATATAACCCTGAGCATATTTAGTCCCTTAAGTATGCTAAAGTGGAGCACCTTTAGTCTCACTAACACAATATATTAAAAAACTAACAGTATTACCCAACTATGATTCATTAAGCAAATCTTGTGCTCTAAAGCAAAATGATTCCTCTCATTTTATTGGATAACGCAAATTATCACTTTAATTCCTCATTTTTAGATAATGTCTTCTAAAATTTTGATCTTGAATATATCCTATTCTGTGCCAGTTTTCAATAAGAAAATGACACTGTATAACCGTTGTTAAAATAATAGCCGAAAAATATATAAAATTTGTAAATTGTTTTGTGTATATATATACATTTAAAAATTTCGGTTGATTTTTCTAAAAAGAAAAGTTAAAATTTGAAAAAAAAATAGAGCTGCCAGGATCACTTCTAGGCATATTATTGAAGCAAACGAATAACCAGTTTGTATTATCATTTTTAGCCCGTACCAAAAATTATTTACATCTGGTAGCGGAATAAGTATATAAAGTTGGTATATTATTTGTATATTAACATACAAAAAAAAATTTAAAAAGAAATATATATATATATATATATATATATATATATAATATACAAATTTTATAATTTTTTTTGGCTATTATTTTAACAACGGTTATACAGTGTCATTTTCTCATTAAAAACTGGCACAGAATGGAATATATTCAAGATCAAAATTTTAGAAGACATTATCTAAAGATGAGGAATTAAAATGATAATTTGCGTTATCTAATAAAATGAGAGGAAACATTTTGCTTTAGAGCAGAAAATTTGCTTTATGAATCAGAGTTGGGTAACACCGTTAGTTTTTGAATATATTGTGTCAGTGAGACTAAAGGTGCTCCACTTTAGCATACTTAAGGGACTAAATATTCTCAGGGTTATATTTGAGGGATCAAAATGGACCTACCCTCAAAGATAAGGGATAATATTGGTCAAAACCTCTGTCAGTGAGACTAAAGATGCTCCACTTTAACATACTTAAGGGACTAAATATGCTCAGGATTATATTTGAGGGATCAAAATAGACCTATCCTTACAATATTGGTCAAAACGTCGACAATATTATGTTAATTTTCACCCGTATCTCTTTCCAACCCGAACCGGACCTTTCCTCAACCCAATAGCTGCTCTCGGAACCCCCAAATCTTCATTATTTTCAATTTTCCAAAAACCCCTGAAATTTGAAAACTTCGAAAATCCCCAATTCATTCATCAAAAGCCCTAATTGAAGTATGTCACAGAAGAAAGAATCAGAGGGTATCGCTTTGCTGTCGATCTACGGCGATGACGAAGATGACGAAATGGAAGATATGGAAGAACGCCAAGAAGAAGAAGAAGAAGAAGCAAGGCAAGAAGAATACAAACCTGAATCCGAAAACATGGACTCCGAGCTCCTCCAAGATGACAACAATAACAGAATTGTTGGTTCTGATTCGGGTCGGAGTTCGACTCCATCACCACTGATTCAACAACTTCAGCAGCAACAGCAATATGTTGAAACTTTGACGGTTTCGAGCTTAGGGGTAATTGGGTCTACCATTACGACGCCGTTTATGTCAGTCGCTTCTCCAAATAATCCTCAGCCGATGGATTTGAATGTGAATGTGAGTAGACGAGGAAGGCTTACAATTGTTGACTATGGTCATGATGAAGTTAATATGTCTCCCGAACCTGAGGTAGCTACTCCTATTTTATGCTCTCATTTAAGCTTTGATTTAAACTATGCTAGAAGACTCAGGTTTAATAGGATACTATTAGAGATTTATTATTCATGTAATGAAGTTATGAATGTAGGAAGGAGAAATAATGGCCAGTGGGAGAGTCATGTATGGAGAGGAACTTCAAACTGTTAGTGGTATGTATGTATGCTTTGTGTTTTTCTATATTCAGCTCTGCACCTCTCTATACTTTTTTTTTTTTTTTTTTTNTCAAACTGTTAGTGGTATGTATGTAGGCTTTGTGTTTTTCTATATTCAGCTCTGCGCCGCTCTATACTTTTTTTTTGGGTTATGGCCCTTGCTTATTTGAAGTGATCCTACGAGTTATATGCCTAGTGTGGTTTACTTCGTTCATATATGGATCAAATTGAAGCATGTGTTCTCAATATATAGTCAACTATTGTAATTCAACCAATTATTATCTCACTCCCTCTGTCGCAGTTTGTTTGTCTCTATTTCCCAAGTACGGCTCTCTATTTTCAGAACTATTTAGATTACATATTTTCATTTTGCCTTATTTGCACACTCTTATGAGAATTGACATGACTTGTTGTAGACCTCACTTGATACAAGAGAGGAAGTCAGTCTAATACTAAAGATACTTTTGGTATTTTATGCATATTTAGTTTATGTGTCAAAAGTCTCATTTTCTCTTAAATTCCATGTCCAGTCAATTATTTGGAATAAATTGGGACAGAGAGTTTCTTTTATAAGCTTCTTCATAAATATGATTGGGAGCAACTTTTGGGTAAAAGAAATCATTTTTAGTTGGGTAGCAGAACGTCATTTGGTAAGAAATTGCCATTACAGTTTTTTGATCCATATATTTGATATGTAAAAAAGACGTCTTCCGTATTTGTGAAGTAAGATTGACTAATGTTACTCCAATTATTCAAAGTCAAAACTAAAAAGAGAACTCTGTTGTTTTCTGCACCATATTAATTTGGGAGTTCAAGCTTAAAAATCTCACTCCTTTCTTTTTCAGTTGAATCTATAGAAAAAGCTTCACCAGCTCTTCAGGTTAGGACACCGAGCACTCAAACCCCTCCTCAGTCAGCTGAACCATCTGATCAGATCGATGATGCTATGGACTTTCCTGTTAATGAAGGACATGGAGTGGCTGAAGAATCTGATATGGTTCCCGCAGAAGAACAAAAAGATGTAGATTTTTTGGAGAAATTTCTTCCTCCTCCACCAAAGGAAAAGTGCTCAGATGAATTGCAAGTAAGTTTGTGGTATTAGTATTTTCCAAACTTTAATGATATTGGAAATGTACTTATCTTAATTTATATATGCTATCTTGAGGTAGCACTGAATTTGAAATAGACCTTTAAAGTTGAAGCTCTGCATCTTCAGACTTACTTCTGTAGTGTACATTTAGATGATATTGGCAACTTATATGTCTCTTGCATTATGTCTTCTAAAATGAATTTGCATCTTATACAGTACCTTTCTGCTATAGATTTTGCACTGCCTGAATTGGGACTTTGAGAAATATGTTTCTCAATTCTACAGTGATTGGTAAAGGAATGGTTGGTTACATGAGGACTGGCTGAAATGAACTGAGGGAGATGAAGCAAGAACTTAAAATGAATGTTTTTCAGCTGTCCCGACCACGAAATCTGTGCTTGCTAAATCTCTCACACTGACACAATATCTCATTCTCTCTCTCTCTCTCTCTCTCTCTCTCTCTCTCTCTCTCTCTCTCTCTGACACACACACACGTGTAATGTATAAATACTCTATCCTATCATGTATCCTTTATTTTCTACTTCTTGACAAATCTTAAGTGGATTACAATAAGCTCAAGTTGAAAGTATATCATGCTTTTTGCATAGGCAAGTTTCCGAGTTGGTAAGAGATTTAGACTCTGAACAATACATGTATCTAGTGTCATTTAGTAATTTGACCTTGAATGGAACATACGTGCCAGTAAAAAGTGAACCTTTATCATACTAGCTAACCAGAAACTGCTTGCCTATTTGGAATACACTAAAAGGAAACTACTTTTGGCTTCCATTTTTCTGTGAACTTACCATTCATATATAAGGAGGGCCTTTTGGTGTACCCTTGTTGCATAGATGATTGATTTGGCTAATTTGCTTTTAATTTGTTACACTCTTTTTCTTGTCAATTCATTCTGCAGGAAAAGATCATTAAATTCCTTGCTTTAAAGAAGACTACTGGCAGAAGCTTTAATGCAGAAGTGCGCAACAGAAAGGAGTACCGGAATCCAGACTTCTTGCTGCATGCAGTGACTTATCAAGATATTGACCAGATAGGATCTTGCTTCAGTAAAGACGTATTTGATCCGCGTGGATATGACAAAAGTGACTTCTATGATGAAATAGGTTACTAGCAATATAATTTTCTATTTTTTTTGTCTATCTTTCGACTAGAAATATCTCATTTGAGTTGCGTTGGTTATGGCATGTTTGAACAATTTAGCTACTTCCACTGTTATACTTTTGTTAACAAAATAGTTCCTTCTGTGAATCTGGAACAAGAATGGGATTATGACTTTTTCTGAGAATTCAGTTCAATCATATCTTTTTGCTGGTATTCATTTTGGGGTTTAAATTTTAAAATCGTAAAAGTTCCGTTATTTTAGGACTCTGACAGATAGCTGTTAGAAAATCTTAGTATATTGTACTGTCCTGAAGATGAGTGACTTTATATCTAAAAATACAGCCTTTTTACTGGATCTAAAGTACACGTCACAAGGATTTTCATGTTATGTAGCTAACATCATACCTTTTCAACTTTTTTGTTGGGAGCTATAGGAGGTTTAAAGGATATCTATTTCTTTTGAGGTTAAGCATTCACGAAATTTTTGTTCATTTCAGTGTTAGAATAATTTCTCTTGAGTTTTTGGATAATTTCTTATCTACGAATGCTTTATCCGAAAGAAATATTGATTGGAATATTTATTTTGTAAGCAGAAGTTGACATGAAGCGTGAAATGGAGAGAAGGGAGCAAGAGAGGAAGAGGAGTCCAAAAGTTGACTTCATATCTGGAGGAACACAACCTGCAGCTATGGTTCCTCCACCAAAAATCAATTTGCCAATTCCAGGTTACCCACCTTTCTTCTTCGAGTCAATTTCTGTAGCACAGGTCTCCATTCACGATTGATTATAAGAGTTCCCTGCATTACTCATTTTCTCTCTGCAATTCTTTTGCATGGGACGGCTCCTGTCTCTGTTGGTGCATTACCGCCCACTGTAGATGTTGTAACTCGGGATGGTAGACAGAACAAAAAGTCGAAGTGGGACAAGGTTTTTATCTGCACAATGTCAATTAAATTGCATTTGATCAACCCCGATGCCTCTTGTTTATAACCCCAAATGTTACTTTTTTAGGTGGATGTTGATCGGAGAGATCCTGTTTCTACTGTCGGTGCACATGCAGCACTTTTATCAGCTGCTAATGCTGGTACTGGCTACACTGCTTATGCGTAAGTTTATTACGACTCCGTTTTATCTGTATTTCTGTAATCTGGTAGAGTTTCCTTTGCATCACTTGACCCACCTCCCCTGGCCACCCTACGGGATAAGAAAGGTGTAGATTGTAAGGGTGGCTAACTACTTCTTAGCTTTCTAATAATAATGAGCCTCTGGTATTACTTTCTGAGAAATAATTGATGTCGAGCCATGATGGGTTGAAAATTCAACATGTTGTGCAAGTCCCACATTGGTTTATCTTTTCATAGTTGTAAGCTTTCACCATAACATCCCTATGAGCGTCTAAGGTATGCCTTGTTAGAAGTGTGCAAATAGTGCAATAGGTAGAGCACTTGCCTTGAGAAAAATACACAAACACTGGAAGATGGATATATATGCCTCCTATTAATCTGTAGAGTGGTGCAGTGTTGGTTTCTTAGGAAACACACTAAAGATATAGGAAAGCTCTTCTTTTCTTTTGCTTAAATCTTATCTTTATGTAGGTTGAGGCACTTTTCCTGCCTCGCTGTGGTATTTTTAATGTTCGTAATATAGCCATTTTTTGTGTGATTTTTTTGCCAAAATCCCTAAAAGGCTCACTATTTAAGTTAAAATAGAGACACAAATAAAAAAGGGAAAAAAAGGAATTATAATGGAAGTAGTTAAGCTCAGTGCTTTAAAAGGCTTTTTTGGCGAGTCCCAGGGCGGGCCGTATCGAAAAAGCTTCAGGGCAGTATAGAAAGGTGTAGTTCCTGTGGGCAAACACACTATATAACAGGGCGCACTCCAAGGCGCAATAAGTGCACCAAGCTTAGGACTCACGCCTTATGGATCTCAACTAAATTAGGGATAATTAGGCAATTCCCACTTCTTTTTTAAACCTTCTTCGTGCATATGCCTCTTTCCACCAGAGAAAAATATCCCTAATTCGTTAACTTCTTTGCTGAAGAAACCTCCTTGCTCCTCGATTGTCGAAGACTCAAAGCTCTTTGTTTCACCACTACTCTACAACTTTAAAATATATGCTTCGTCCCTCTTGCTGCTTTATTTTTTGTTTTCCCCGTCCGAAATATGAAACTCTCTCTGCATTTTAATCATATTTTGGGTGTAATCATTGTGATCCATGGCTTGTGATATTACGTTCAGCATATACTTTATTTGCTTGTTTGAATTCTAACTGTATTTAAGCCTATCCAATGCTATTGAACATGATTTGTTTGCTTAAGCTTTTTCTACTTTTTTCTTATCTGTAATGTGTAAAGAACTAAAAGTAAAATATCATTAAGATGTACCTCATGTATTATCACATTTTGTGTTGTTAGTTCACTCATATAATAATTATAATAATTTTCCTATATTTTCTTTTTAATATTCTACCAAAATTTAGAAGGGGATCCTTGTTGTAACTGGTAAAGTTGCTGCAGCGTGACCAGGAGGTCACGGGTTCGAGCCGTGGAAACAACCTCCTGCAGAAATGTAGGGTAAGGTTGCGTACAATAGACCATTATGGTCCGGCCCTTCCCCGGACCCCGCGCATGGCGGGAGTTTAGTGCACCGGACTGCCCTTTTTAACCGAAATTTAATCAAATTTTCATATATTTCAGAAAAAAATAAAGCTTATTTATTAATTATAAAATATAAAATTGTAAATTGAAGGTCCATGGGACTTACGCCGTGTCTAGGGTCATAAGCCTTGCCCCTTTTTAGGTAAAACGCCTCACCCTTCCCCCCTGCCTTTTAAAACATTGGTTAAGCTCACATCTAGTTGTGTTTTGTTTTGCAAAGGGTGTAGTGTGTGTAGTTCAAGAATGTATACCATCATGCTAATGTAAGAAATTGTAACTTCATTACATATCCTGCAAAGAAACTTGAGGTTTTGTACCTTATCTTTTTTTTTTTTTTTTTAAAAAGGGAATTGAGTTTTCGTTTATAAACATGACTCACCAGCGTTCTCTTATTGCCGATCATTCATATTATTAAAATGATATTTTATAAATAAAAAAAAAAGAGAGGAGAGAGATGCTAACTTCATAAAGCTATGAATGTATTTCCAGTTCAAAGATGTGTCAGATTTTCATTGTTAATTCAATTGCAGCACATTATATTTTAGAAGTAAAACATCTCTCTCTCTCTCAACATAATAACTCATTTATGGAATTAAAATCTATCTGTCTTTCAGCTTACTAGTTACTACGGGGTCCTAAATTTGTGATCTTGATTTTGAAATAATTCTATAGATTTCTTCGACTTCTTAGATACACTGCTATTCCTATCGGTTGTCTGTCTGTTAGTCAAACTTGCAGCGAAGAAAGAACTTCAGATTACGGGTGTCACATCCTAAAACATCAGTCCTAAGAGCTTTTGCAGTTTAAATTTTATAGGAGCAATCCATGGCGTCTAATGTCGCATACATCTCTTCTCTTAAACTTCTATAGTTCTATATACATTTCCCTCCACATTGTTTTTGTGGGTCATGCAGTCCCTATCCTTAATGAGTATAGCTAATTTATTACTTTTAGTATTTCATCCAAAAAAGGAGATTCATGTTTCACTTTTTATTACTTTTTGGTACCCAAAAACCTTTCATCATCCGTGTTTTCCAAGTATAGACATGTACTGACGTTTCATCTAGCAGAGGGTGGAGTTGATGTTTCATTTAGCGGATGGTGTGGTGATGGTTCATTTTCCTTTTCTACAGGCAACAAAGACGCAAAGAGGCAGAAGAGAAGCGACCTAGTGACAAGAAGTTAGATAGAAGATCTTGACAATCTAATTAGATTCACTGACTGTGAAATATTACAGCTGCAGCACCCAAGCATAGACATGAAAGTANGTGAAATATTACAGCTGCAGCACCCAAGTATAGACATGAAAGTAATGCCTCTAAAGAGATTATGGACTCGGGATTATGATCATCTTTGCTGTGTATAGACGAGCTTTAGAGCTTTCTATATTTGTCGTGCCAACACAATCCAGTCCTGCAAAATTTTGGCACAGACAAAACAGTTATCTTCCTTGGAGCAATGGTGCCTCATTTAGAGAGGCAATTTACTGGCAACATGGGAAGATTCCTATATATTGTAAATTGACCTTGATACCCAGTTTTTATGCTTGGTGAAATCAATCATGGGTTTTGAAGTCAGGAATGTACTTAGACAGTCGGAAATTGAAGGTCGTGTGAAAGTTTGTCAATATAACAATTGGAGAGAGTAAATTGTATTAGATTCTTTTTGCCCTTTGTGCCATTGATGCAAAGTACACCTTTGGATATTATAGAAAATTTTCAACTCGAACAAATTATTCTGAGGAAGACCCCGAGCTATTTGGGTGAAACTTCTTTCTTTTTGCTGCACTGTTTCACTAGTCCTAAAGGGCGAAAATTTTTTATGCACTTTTTGTGAAAAGTTGGATACTTTGTTTTCTTTATCCAGTCAAATTTCATTATTGAGTTTTTATCCAGTAATCTAGTCATTCAACCGAAAGCAAATCCCTTTCCAAAAGGAATCCTAAAGGCCATATAGACCCTCTACCTTAGTCTATCTTTTAAATATGAACTTTCCAAATTCTAGCCTAGCCTAGCTTGCCTTGTATTGTGAATTTTGAACTGTAATCCTTATCTTTATGTCCACCTTTTGAAATTGGGTTAGGTTTTAATTCTACTTAGGTTAAAGAATACCCCCTAGATAGAGGTATTTACCTTTTCAAAAGTTTCAAACCCACCATATGATAGCACTATTTTTGATTAATTTTCTCATATTTGCAATTGTGTTGTAAAGTTTGTGAAATTTAATCTTGGATGACGTTGCCCAAAGTTTTTATAAGTTTCAAATCCACGCTGGCCTATTTCTATTTGAGGGTCTATCTTGTTAGGTAAATTTGCACATAAAAAGTTCAATTCAGGGGTCACATCCTAAGATCCCAATCTAAAGAGCTTTTGCATTTTTAATTTGAAAAATGTGGAGCAATCAATGGTATCTGATCACACAAACACATACTTTTCTTAACTTATTTTAAAGTTCCCCTTTATTTCTCGACTTTTTAAAGTTTCCATCCACATTCCTTTTGTAGGTCATGCAGTCCTATCCTTATTGTATGTATTGGGAGAACATATACTTCACTTTGTTTCAATTTATGAGATATTTTTTATTTTTTGAGAGTACATTTGACTAATTTTTAAAATTAAATTGAAATTAATCAGTTCAATATTTTAAAGTAAAGATGTAGATATTAAAAAATTATACGAAAAGTACTATAACTTGCGATTTCTTCTCATGTCAATATGATGAAAAAATACATTTTAAATATTAATTAAAGTTCACATAATTTGAATCTTAAGAAGCAAAAAATATTACATAAATTAGGACGGAGGGAGTACTTGTATTTGTATTACTGACACATAAATTAGGAAGGGAGTACTTGTATTTGTATTTTGATGTAACAAAAACATGTGTCTTGCATATAAATTTTTATCTTAACAAGGTTAAATGATTAGTGTTCTTCAATTTAACTTGTATTAGATCTCTTATAAACATAGAGTGTTGTAAGTATTTTCGGTATATTTAACTTTTTTTTATTTTGTGAAATCCAAAAAGAGAGATTTTCTCGCATTTTTATTAGAGTAAGTAAACTTTCTCATAATCGAGGTACGCAATTCACCTCGTATTTTTGGAGAGCAGTACAACGCGAGTTGACCACGTGGGTTGAGTTGAGCACAGTGTTTCATTCTCAGACGGACGGGCAGTCCGAGCGCGTCTTCCTAGTACGACTGACAATAACGAATCTCATACTTCTATCCTAAACCCAATTATTCTTATGTCCTTATGTGATATTATTGTTTGGGAGTCAAAGACTTTTTTATTATGATTGTCTCAAAAATATTTAAAGAATATGTGCTCGAATTTATATTGAAAACCAGGTGTTTTTATTTTCGAATTGCGAACACTTTCACATAAAATCAACGAGACCGAGGGAGTATTATATTTGGCATAGTAAGGAATACTCGGTTCAGAGAACTTTGGAATGCCTTATTTATTTAAGAAAACTCCAAAAATGAAATTACCTGGTACAAGTTCAGATATCTAATTATTTTCATTAAAGGAAAGAGGAAGAGATATAGGCTTCTAAAGGATTAGCTAGAAAAAGAATTTCATTACTAAAATTTGAGTTATACTAGTTAATTTGATTTGATGTCTAAATAGAAGGCACTGCACTTTCAAATCTATTTTCCCCTTTATGACCTGTTATATTTTTTCAAAAGATTCTTAAATAAAGTACCTCTCTTTATTGTAATTCTATTCTATCTGATCTAGAAAAGAGAGAGAGAGTTCGTCTTGATTATTTTTACATTCTCTCTCTCTCTCTTTTTTTTTTTTAGAATTCTTGTTTGCAAATGCATGTATATTTTGGTTAAAAAAAGGAGGACCTCTATGTATTTAAATAGTTATATCGAATCAAGTTTACACGTTAATAGAACATACACATGGATTTGACTTTTTAATATACTGGAGATTGAGATAGACATAAACTCCAGAAAAAAGAAGAAGATAGACATAATTCTCTTTCAAAACATTTTTGAAATTATTAGTTGTACTTTCTATGCATCCCCATTTTATGTGGTACAAAGATTGTCATGTTTGAAAAACTGTTTAATTTTATTAACCTCATTTTATCATTAATGATATAATTTAAAAGTTCATCTTTTTATGAGGGGCGAGAAATAAGAAAAGACATGCAAAACTCTTAGCAGTTACCCCAAGTCCTAACTCATTTAATTGTTGGAACTTGGTATTATAATCTGCTATTTTAGAATAACATATATATACAATATGTAATATGTATGTATATTATTGATGTGTCAAAAATCTTCCTCTATTTTTAATTCCGTGTCCGATTATACATCACTACATAAAATGAGTAGGGAGGACGTAAAAATATTACTATTTTGTTGTATTTGTTTAGTCGTCTACAAAACAAAACCCCACCAACTTGGCTATCTTTTATGAATGTTTGTTGGAATTGGAGCAAGCTTATTATTGTGAAGTAGACAGAAGAGAGGAAAATCCCTCAATTTTCGCTGTTTTTGCAGGGAAAAAGTTGAGAAATTTTGAGCCCAAAAATATTTAGAATTATATATTCCATATGAAATAAGTACTCCATAAATAGGCTCGAATATCTAAGCTGCCTCTTGTCCTTGCATATAAAGAGAGACATTGGTGAAATTAATATACTGTTTTAATTAATGTCCCCTTCACACGTTGGGTCTTACTCAGACACTGTTCTATTTCTGCATAAACTAAAGAATCTTTATGGTGCTCATAGATTCTACTTTCACCAATTATTTTCTCTCTTTCTTGCTTTTTTTATTTTATTTCTAAATGCTAAGGTATAGAACATTTAAGAGGGTTTCGTTCAGGTAGTTTATATTAATTGTTTATCAACTACATATTGCACATGAAATGCTAAAGTCTTTTCCTAAATAACAAATATAGACTTGTATTGACCTCTCTGATTGTTATTATTTTAAATTTATTTTATTCATGAAAGTTCACTTGTTATTTGAAAGTTTACTTTGCAGATTTCGCAGCTAGCACTAGATTGGACTATCACATTTATTCACTCACACACACAGATAGAGTTTTATTTAAATTTTATAGCAACCTTTAGATTTTAGAGCTAAGTCCTTTCCAACTTCCAAACTGAGCCTCTAACTCTAGAAAAAATGAAACTTCCAAAAGATACGTGTTGTTTTTTTCTTTTTCTTTTTGTTGCAAAATTTCACCAAACAGATAGTTTGTTAAAAAATAAAAAGAATTCCAAACTCAGTTTTTGCATAAGGTGAAACAATCGCCACCTTATTAATTGCTGTAACCAGAAATGGAAAACAAAAAATGGACAGAAAACGAACAACAAAATCCAACCTTAGTTACTCTATAAAAGGTATTGGAATCTAACATAAAAATAACATGAAATAGTGAAACCGAGTAGTATATCAATTGAACTTTCAACTTCTAATTACAAATTAAATCATAAAATTGCCATTTTCGTTCATAGCCAAAATCTTATTTCACCTATCATTACACACATATCAATCTAAGTCACATAAAAAAGTCAAGTTGACCGCGAATAAATCAAGCATTACAAGACATCCTCGTACTTGGCTAAAATTAGTTGCATGAATAAAAGAAATGACTATAATTTCTATTACTTTCTATTTTAATGCCAAAAATTCATCTAAACTGAAAACGAAAATTCTTTCATTTTACTATTCAAATAATTTCTTTTTCAAATATTTCTGTTTTCCAAGACTTCCCAAGTATTCTGCCTATCATCAAATCAAAATCAGAATTCACGTGTTCCTATAACAATATTTTTAAGAAAGAGTTTGAAGGATTTTTAAGAAATATTCACACAATCGTATCACTTGTAAAATAATTAATTTATAAGTCTCTGTAATACTAAATATTACTCTCTCAAGTGATTTAATATTACTAAATATTAAATAGTTAATTTAATTTTTTCAGATATAAAGAAGGAATTAACTTCTACTCCATCCGTTCACTTTTACTTGGCATGTATACTAAAAATAGATTTTTATTTTTTGTCACTTTACGCATATTAAGAGAAAATAATTTTTTTTCCTGTTATACCCACAATATCTATTACTCATTTCAAATCATTTTCTCAAATCCAATAAAATATGCATTAATTAATATGAGTATCATGGTAAACTATGCACTTCATTTATTATTTCTTAAGAGCCGTACAAAGTTAAAACGTGCCAAGTAAAAGTGAGCGGAAGGAGTACTTTTTAAAGTTGCCCTTGGAGTAAAGAGCCCATGAATAGTTTGTTATATTTTCAATGAACAAATTAAGAATAATATGATCAATTTCATTATTAATTAATATTAAAAAGTGAATTCTTTAATATGCGTGAAAAAAACAAAAAAATTACTTAAAGTGAACTAGAGGGAGTACTAATTCATAATATAGTACAGTGGTAATTAATTTGTGATAATACAAGTCTAAAGGGTTTTTTAATGAAGTTTGAGTTAAAAGATGAAAAATAAAGAGGGTGCAGAAAAAAGTACAGTCAAGCAAACAACAGAAACTAACGGTAACATATGAGATGTCTTTGGAAGTTCCTTCAGGGCATTTCCGGAATACACGAAAAAGTTAACGGACACTCTCATTATCAAAGCCAAAAGAACACTAAATAAACCTTAATAAGCAAAGTAAAAATTCACTTTCAAAGAGTGGGTTGCAGGTGCTGCTAAATCTTCTTTCTCTATAGTCTATATATATATAAACCGATACACATCACATCATCTTGACTTCTCTTTCTCTCTTTTT